TATTAAGTTTAACACGAAACACAAGTTGAAACTACTTCGACTATCTAGTGCTTCTCAAAGTGTTCGAGGATGGTTCTATCTTTGGTACTCGTTCCTTACATTTCTATAAATGGCATTAACACGCATGATCGTTTCTAAAGGGACTAGACACATATTTAGGGACAAAACCTTATTAAACAGACACATTCTCATGCATGTACCTTGTGACAAACAGATACGCTATTTTAGACGTATAAATATATTCTTTAATGGACCAAATGCGTGTTTAAAAAAGCGACGTATTAAAAAATGATTTAAGTAAAAATAGATAAGTACTATTTGGAGGAAAACGTGGCTAAATGATAATAATTCATAATGTCTTTGACAGTAGGAATTTTGTTCAATGTGATTAACACTGATTATCAGCTTAATAGAATTACGGTTATTATTTATATTTTTATATGGATTACTTGAAATTAATGCCCGTCCTTTCGTTTCAGTAAGTAGGTGAGAAGTGTTTGGCGCCAGTTTGGGAATTATTCAAGCTTTATCATGGATTTGAACACGACCCTCCGGCGTGACCCTCCGTCAACTGTCCTAAAACACTGACAAAACGTGCCTTGGTGTGAGTTTGCTTAACCAAGAAGGCGGACGCGAGTTTGGTTAAAATCTCCATTAACATACTGCAAAACTCCTGCGAAGGAAATACCGCTACAATTTATACATTTATCATTGTGTGATGAGTTAATTTCAATTTGTAGCAATTTTCACTTAAATAAGAAGCCCATAGGGAAAGGGGAACACTTGTTCTTTTAATTTTGAGCTATCCTCTTCTGTTGATATAGAGTTTGAAATATACACCATGAACCTTATATTTTCATAAGAACCGTACCCAAGTAACGGGATACTGTCGTAATTCTGTAAAGTAATGTAATCAAGATATTGACCACGCACTGAATTATGATTAAAATACATATTCATAGTTTTGTAATATGTCTAGATAAAAGTAAGAAGCAGAAAACCCCCTTTGTATTTCAAAGGAAAGGATTATCTTAAGAATCTTCATCAAAGTATGATATCGTCACTTCATCCGAGGCTGGAAATATTTTACCAACACATTACTGTTATATTAATTACAATAAAACAAATTAACACTATACCCTTTATCATTGATTTTAAATATAACGTTATACAGTGGAAAATGTATACGTAATTATGCAAATGCAGTTGTAAATAATACAGGTTGATCTCGGATTTGGATTATATTTCCGCTCACCGCAGTAGAAGGTCATAGAATTTTATCACCATCCCGACAGATGGTGGGCATTATCAGCAACTGTTTCGGAACTAACGAAATGATTGCTTAACGTAACGGATGGAGCTCACGTCTCCTTTTCCCGTCGATACATTCAAGAATGTCATGTCTGCCATTGTTCTGTTAATGCCCATCCCCTTAAAAAATAAGTAAACCTACATCCATATCAATATTTTAATGGGTTTATCATGACACGATCATATTTTGCTGTAAGCTTATGAAATGTGTACTCTTAATTTCGGGTTAATAGACGTAGGATTTGTGTGATCTAGGTCTTGACGTAGATTCTCAATCTGTTTGCAATATGGCCAGACATTTATCGTTATTAATAGATTATCATCACATATTCTTTTGTCCAGAATGACGATTGGTTTTGAAACAAGTGCATCATTAATTGTAGCCATCACATTTCGCTATCTATACTATAAAAATGAAAATGAACACTTCACAATTGAAGAATGTCATTGTGGAGATGAAGTGTACAATACATATACACTATGGCGTATGTACGATGTTCTGGAAAGTGGAAATATTGTACATCTCATACATATGCAAATATTAATGTTTTAATAAAGAGTTATAATACTAATTAATTACAATTTGCAAACAATAACATTTTAACTACTAAATCTGTTTTTTTTCCGTGCGGACAAAAATATTTGCATTCAGTAAATCGTTTGTCCGCATCTCCCTTTATAACAGCATTTGGAAACAGTGGAGGTGTCCGATTAGAGCCCTGGTAGTCTAGTCAGCATTTAGTCAGAGCAACACCTGTGTACCGACACAACCAGATAATTAAACGTTAAATACTTGCAGCAAAGCACTAAAGTTCAAACTAGCTTGTTATCTCAACAATAAAACACTGCATCTCGAGGCGTGGGATTTTTTACTTAAAGTCCTGTATACCGTACCGCTGTGCAGCAGGGGGTGGGTGTAACGTATGGTGCCCACCCACCTACTTTACCCTTATCGCCTGACAACCAAGTGCAACGTCGTGCACATCTCATCACTTCTTCCTAATATCCGTATTATCTCTTCCAAAGCCATGACCTCTCGATGAACAGGGTATTTGATGGTCGATGATGGTGATTATCAATTTTAAATAGATAACTGTACCTTAATAACAGTGAATCGAGTACTGTAACGATGACTACTTACTCATAGTGTGTGTCATCATGTTAAGGTTACACTGACTGACAAATAAGTCCATGTATATATAAGGCGGGGGGTGGGAGGTGGGGTGAACGGGGTGTGTGTCCAGGGTGATGCTTGTTGTACATACGGTTACCTCTGTGTCATGTCAAATATTATTTTTTTTAATTGAAATTTTGTACCGAATGCACCACATTACAGTTCAGCCTATTTCCTTCTTATGACAGATTTAAACATTTAAATAACAGGTTTAGGTTCACTCCCGTGGATTGAAATTTCCTTTACCTTTGAACAGACAAAACCTACCCTGTCTATCTTCGATAATGCACTCTTTGCGGTCACGGTTCTCGGTCACGATGTAATAGATACATTTAAACTATGATTATAAATAAACAAACATTGTTTAAAAGTAAACAGTGCTTCACGGAAGGCAATAGCAAATGTGTAGAAAGCCATATCTGTGTCTATGAGGGTATATATGGCGACGAAAGAATATTCCCGTTCTCTTACCAAAACATCAAAGACATATATGAAACCACACATGGAGACACTTCAAAGGCATAACTTTTGTGTCAAAATCTTCTTTTTAAATCACAAGTAAATAGTTTTATTTATTTTGAAACCTACTTCCGCTGAATTTATTGAATTATACAAAAACGTAAGACGGGGAGGCACCCAAAGCATATGATTCGTGTTAAAACTTCCCGTGTTAAACTTGACAATGAAATGATTATCTACAAAATTTGTAGCTTTCGTTTTAAACATCTATGTTAACTGTCGAGGGAAGGGCATTGTATCTTTGAAAATAACCTTATCTTTGACTAAAATATTATATACATTACCAAAACGTTACTGCCTTACAATAAATAAACCTGTTGTGTGCACGAACTGCTCATTGATACGACGCGCGTTTTAACAGTCTATAATACCCATAAGAAATACTTTACCATCCAATAATACTTTGCTGTTTGCTTCTTTTTCACCACCATCAAACATGGATCTAAAGTTTCTTACCCCGCAGTTAAGTCAACTTATAACATGTTCCTAACTCAGCAGATTTTGAGACCATGTGACGAATTGTATTTACATTAAGACAACCCCAAAACATTAACTAGTCCGTGAATAACTGACATAAAACATTGCCTCTCTCTCTATCTCTTTGAATGTGTTCGTTTTTCAGTAATCTTAAATTTAAAACTCCAAATTTGGGCTCCAAATTTCTGTCTGCATCACGGTGATGTATCAATTGAGATTCAGGAATTTCGAGTATTCAGTACCAGCAGCCGAAACATTCAGTCGCAAAATGGTTCTTTTAACGATTTCCAATTGAGTTAGTTTCGTTTCTAGGCAATGAATTTTGTCCTCACTACAGCTGAATTGGAACTGGCATAAGGCTCTGGAAAATCTATGGAAACAAAACGTTTCTAAATGAACGTTTGGTGGAGGTCCATTCTCGCTATGAGACCCATCAAGAATAATGCCCAGTGATTTTTAACTGGAATAAAATTAAATTAAATGTAAACATTACCGTTTGTTCGTTATCCTGTCCAGCCGCTTTATTTCTTTGATATCATCTTTGAAGATGTTCTTTGAAAAACCACAATATTGTGCTAACAATGATACCAAGATGTCGATGTGATCACAATAGCCAGTAATTGACTCCAGTTAGCTGTATTTTTTAGCTAAATATTTAACATACATTTAAAGTTGTGCTATCAAAGAGGGCAGATTACAACATGTGTGAATTTAACTTTAGATAATATCAGTACCATTCAATTATTTAAATATATCAATATTTCATGTAGCTAAGTGTAAATATTGTAACATGTAGCATGTCATTATTTGAATTACAATTTCATATATAATGCATGCACAAGATATTGACTGTTATTTAACTATCCATATCTCTGATTTAAAATCTGCATTTTACACAGTAGGCCTCTAAACGTTAAAACAATTATTGTGTATATCTTAAGGTGTACATGTTATCTATTATCAGTGTCGGTTTCAGAAGCTGTCAGTCTCTTGATGAAATAGATTCAGGTTGGGTTTTGCATGTCGATTACACCAGGTGATCAATACTTCAGGTATGAATGTTTTATAAGAGCTGATCATATATTGATTAACACAATATGTATTTTTATAATTACAAATCAATTTCAGATTACTTTATCGATATTATGTACATTTTAATATTCATCAAACATGTCATAGTGTTGATTTTGTTGTTTACATAGAAACATAGATAATTCAAATATTTAAGCGGTTAAATAATTCAATTTTGTCAACAACAACATCCATTTCAAAACGTAACATACGTACAGGTGAGGATACGTTGGTTGCAATAAAGATATTATGTGATTTCGAAATGTTGATACGTAAAGATGAATCATAACAGAGCCACATGTATTTGTTTACGAAACTACGGGAAAGGTTCGGTGTACAGGATATCCTATAGAATACACGGCTTCACTTTAAGAACGGAAATGTGTTGTCAAAGTACAGCCAGGTGTTTGAGGGCACTATAGCCCTTACCCCGAAACGAAACGCTTACCTGTCGGATCCACGGATAGTCCAGTCAACGCGTGTACAGATAATCCGGACAGTGGTCAGCCGTTGGGACCAGTGCTGACCGTTGTTGTGATGATCGTATCTCGGGCACCCGACGAAACCGTGATCTACTCGCTCACCCGATTGATAAGTGTAGTTGAGTTGATCACGATCAGTACAATGATTACTCCCGGAGGACCGATAAACTGTCACTCTGCCCCACTGAACGCCCTCTAAATCGATAGGACCAATCAGAGACGAGTATTTGTCTTTCCTTTCTGGCCTTTCAGTTAATGTACACGCCCCTTTTTTCGTTCCCATTGAAATCCGTTGTCGTGTTCGCAAAGGCGTTTCTTATTCGACGGGTTGCCACGTTAATGGTTTTAACACCCGACGCAAACTACAAACAACAGCGAGGTTTCATAAAAAGCTCGGGGTAACTTGATAATGCATTTACTCGTCAACACTATGAGCAGGGTGTAAATCGCAAACAAATTGTGGGAAACATCCGTAAATGTATCCAATAGCAAGAATACTGCCATTAATTAGATGACATCGTTTTACTTATGAACGTAAACACGTTTTTTTTTAAATAATTAAATCAATCTGTCCGCCTACATTTGCAGTTCGAGTTACGTTGAGGAAATAACAATGTATATCTGACGAAAAGTACAAGTCTCATCCGCACATACGTTTTGCCAGAGCCTTTGTAAGTATTAGAAATATACTCATGCCAATAATGGTTGTCACCCCCTTCAATTTTTTCAATTGGAGAGGGGGTGTGGGTCGGGGGTGTGAGGTGTGTGTTGGGTTGGGGTGGGGAGGGGGGTGACAACAATTATTGGCATGAGTATAGTTGTCAATACTGTGAATAATGCGGTGAACATATTATTCCATACGGTTTGTGAAAATGTAAACTGAATGCAAAATTTGATTCTAACATTATTAAATGATTTCTGGAATTTGTACAGAAATTGATTCCTTGAGGCACTGTTAAAGCTCCTGTCAGTTCGAATTCCATATATTATTTAATACCTCATTTTACAGCAAACACTGATGTACACCACAACATTTAATGCATAACTCTAAACACAGAATCATAGTGATTTGAACAATAATTCCGTATAATATATTGGCCATTATATTAATATGCATTAACACCATACCTACATACAATACACAACATCAAATTAACCGTGTTATTTTAATTACAGGTGAGCAGCTTTCAGGCATACTGATTAAATCAGAAAATTATAGTTTACCTACTATTCGATACTGATAGTCATGAACTACAGTGCTCTGTGGGGTGATAGTCATTCGTCACAATAATACGCATATCTATAACGAGGCCAATCAGCCTTAGCTCTATTACCCCGGTTAATAGATGAGTGTGTACTCGATTTTCATTCTCAACTTCCCGGGGACTATTGAATAATATTGAATATATAGTCATATCTTGTGACAATATTGAATATAACGTCATAGATATAGACAATATTGAATACAATGTCATAGGTAGAGACAATATTGAATATAAAGTCATAGCTAGAGACAATATTAAATATAAAGTCATAGATATAGACAATATTGAATATAACGTCATAGCTTGTGACAATATTGAATATAACGTCATAGATATAGACAATATTGAATATAAAGTCATAGCTAGAGACAATATTGAATATAACGTCATATCTTGTGAACAATATTGAATATAACGTCATAGCTACAGACAATATTGAATATAAAGTCATAGCTATTGACAATATTGGATATAAAGTCATAGCTTGTGACAATATTGAATATAAAGTCATAGCTTGTGACAATAGTGAATATATAGTCATAGCTAGAGACAATATTAAATATAAAGTCATAGCTAGAGACAATATTGAATATAACGTCATATCTTGTGAACAATATTGAATATAACGTCATAGCTAGAGACAATATTGAATATAACGTCATAGATATTGACAATATTGAATATAAAGTCATAGCTTTTGACAGTATTGAATATAAAGTCATAGCTAGAGACAGTATTGAATATAAAGTCATAGCTATTGACAATATTGAATATAAAGTCATAGCTTGTGACAGTATTGAATATAAAGTCATAGCTAGAGACAGTATTGAATATAAAGTCATAGCTATAGACAGTATTGAATATAACGTCATAGCTAGAGACAATATTGAATATAAAGTCATAGCTAGAGACAATATTGAATATAAAGTCATAGCTAGAGACAATATTGAATATAAAGTCATAGCTAGAGACAATATTGAATATAACGTCATAGCTAGAGACAATATTGAATATAAAGTCATAGCTAGAGACAATATTGAATATAACGTCATAGCTAGAGACAATATTGAATATAACGTCATAGCTAGAGACAATATTGAATATAACGTCATAGCTAGAGACAATATTGAATATAAAGTCTTTTGTTTTGTCTTGATGCGATTGGGTTTGTGTAGGGCTAAACCGTTCATCTGTCACAGAGCTGATGAACTAACGTGGATGAATGTGTGAGGGCAGTACATGAGTGCGCGCGCGCGCGCGCGTGTGTGTGTGTGTGTGTGTGTGTCTGTCTGTCTGTCTGTGTCTGTGTATGCGTATGTCTATGTGCCTATCAGCTCAATGCTCCAAGACTGCGTAACCGTCGAGTCTCCACCCACGCGTTACCGCCTACAACAGATGACGTTAACTTAAGCCTCATCTACAAGTCGCCGTCAATGACTGATAGTTAATTCGGTTGGGGTAGCCAAATGGTTAAAGCCAAGGACCCGGGTTCGATTCCCAATGATAAACAGATAGGGTTAACACCGTGTCCCCCTTGTAAGACGCCGTTGTAGACAGATAGGGTTAACACCGTGTCCCCCATGTAAGACGCCGTTGTACACAGATAGGGTTAACACCGTGTCCCCCATGTAAGACGCCGTTGTAGACAGATAGGATTAACACCGTGTCCCCCATGTAAGACGCCGTTGTAGACAGATGCGTTGAACGTCGTGTAAATTTTAACGGCCAACCTGTGGACCCGGAACAAAATGCATCATCAGTTACCTCCCCTTGCCATAAGAGGCGACTAAATTGATTGGGTGGTCAGATTCGACAACTCGGTTGATTGCCTGTAATCTAACACAGACGGCAAGATGTTTCTCTTAATATAAATAAATTGTCTGAAACAGATTCCATTTGAATATTCCTGACCTAGAGTAATAATGTGAGTGAATATTACTGGCTGTGAGTAAGATTGTGACTGTGAATATTACTGACTGTAGTAATATTGTGACTGTGTTTACTACTGACTGTAGTAATATTGTGACTGTGTTTATTACTGACTGTAGTAATATTGTGACTGTGTTTATTACTGAATGTAGTAATATTGTGACTGTTTATTACTTACTGTAGTAATATTGTGACTATGTTTATTACTGACTGTAGTAATATTGTGACTGTTTATTACTGACTGTAGTAATATTGTGACTGTTTATTACTGACTGTAGTAATATTGTGACTGTGTTTATTACTGACTGTAGTAATATTGCGACTGTTTATTACTGACTGTAGTAATATTGTGACTGTTTATTACTGACTGTAGTAATATTGTGACTGTGTTTATTACTGACTGTAGTAATATTGTGACTGTGTTTATTACTGACTGTAGTAATATTGTAACTGTGTTTATTACTGACTGTAGTAATATTGTGACTGTTTATTACTGACTGTAGTAATATTGTGACTGTGTTTATTACTGACTGTAGTAATATTGTGACTGTGTTTATTACTGACTGTAGTAATATTGTGACTGTTTATTACTGACTGTAGTAATATTGTGACTGTTTATTACTGACTGTAGTAATATTGTGACTGTTTATTACTGACTGTAGTAATATTGTGACTGTTTATTACTGACTGTAGTAATATTGTGACTGTTTATTACTGACTGTAGTAATATTGTGACTGTTTATTACTGACTGTAGTAATATTGTGACTGTTTATTACTGACTGTAGTAATATTGTGACTGTTTATTACTGACTGTAGTAATATTGTGACTGTGTTTATTACTGACTGCTGTAGTAATATTGTGACTGTTTATTACTGACTGTAGTAATATTGTGACTGTGTTTATTACTGACTGTAGTAATATTGTGACTGTGTTTATTACTGAATGTAGTAATATTGTGACTGTTTATTACTGACTGTAGTAATATTGTGACTGGGTTTTTAATGACTGCAGTAATATTGTGACTGTTTATTACTGACTGTAGTAATATTGTGACTGTGTTTATTACTGACTGTAGTAATATTGTGACTGTTTATTACTGACTGTAGTACTATTGTGACTGTTTATTACTGACTGTAGTAATACTGTGACTGTGTTTATTACTGACTGTAGTAATATTGTGACTGTGTTTATTACTGACTGTAGTAATATTGTGACTGTGTTTATTACTGTAGTAATATTGTGACTGTGTTTATTACTGTAGTAATATTGTGACTGTGTTTATTACTGACTGTGAGTAACAATGTGACTGTGAATATTACTACATAAGAAGCAAACAAACGAACAAGCTTGTAAAGGTTTTCCTTATTTCCGAAGCATACTAACGTATGTTGTGTGTAGGGCAGCTTTGACATGTCATTGACATACTATCTGACAAGAAGTGCACGAGCGTTGTGAATTGGAGTGATTTGTCATAGATATTAGATAAATCATTCAATCTTAAGTGGGAGCATATGAACTGCTCTGACAATAAAAGAAAAACGCTTTGGAAGAATTTGTTTCCATACTTTTTGAGACTTTCCTTTGAATACTACCAGAACGCAAATGACAGTACTCGCGCGCTTATGCAACGCCGAGCGACGTCGTGTTATTGTTACTACGCTGTCGCACACTGTAGTGCGAAGTTGCCCACTGCGCTCCTACCCCCACCCCCAGGCAGTCAAACAAAGGGGTTGGGGGGTGGGGAAATGAAGGTGTGCGTCACGTGACACCCAGCGTTGATTTATCGCCCCGACGATGAGGGACGTAGCCAGTGTATTCTGTCTACAGCACGTGGCGCGTGACAAAGACTTCAGAATAATAACACTTCCCCAACCCTCCCTAGCATGTGCGTTCAGCGCCTATTGTCCGATCTCCCCCTCTTACG